CACCCCCTCAGCACTCCACTCACCACCCCCCTTGCCACCTCCTCTTACCCTGCGAGGAAGGCCCTTTCAGTGTGCTCTGACCCTGGTGGGAGTTCTCACCTCCCTGGGCCGTCCCCAGCCCTCTAAGTGTTCCCAGCAGCTATGCAAATGGCTCTCTGGGAGCTCCTGGTCTGGGGCCAGACTAGGGGACCCCATGCCACTCCTCACCAGGTGGGTAGAGGTGGTGCCACGGGCGCTGCCAAGGTCCACAACCTCCTGGGTTCTGGGCTTCTTGCTGTGACGATGATGGCAGCAACACCAGGTGGCACAGAGCAGGCAGAGGGTGAGCAGGGTGCCCACAGCCACGGCCACGGCGACGAGTGTCCAGTGAGGCCCTGGGGACAGAGAGGACCAGGGGCTCCTCTGCACAGTCACTGCCTTCAAGGCTGGCCATCCTGTCCCCCTCAGGGTTCTAGCACTCACAGGACATCCTGATGACAGAGTCTGGAGTGAGGCCAGAGAGAGTGGTGGTGCCAGGTACAGCTGGGACATGGCGGGGACCCGGGGAACGTGCCATCCGCCAGCCTTGCTGGTTTGGAAGAGAGAGCCTGGATGAGGAGGTCCCATCAGTGGTTCCTCTCAGGCGCCCGCCCACGGTCCTATTTGTCCAGCAGTTGCTGCCATCTCACCAATTCAGGCCTGCCTGGTGAAGGAGGCGACTGGGGACCAGGATGGGGACTCCGAGCCAGAAGCACCACAGAGACTCTGGGCTCTGGCCAGAGCTCAGCCTTCGCTGTCACAGTCCCAGCCCCCTGACCACCCCCACCAGCTCCCAGCCCAGTCAAGGAGACCAGGGCTGCAGAGCCCTGCCCTGACACCCTTAGTCTGACAGTGTGTGCAGAACTGCCTCCTCCAGGCAGTCCCCCCCCTGGCACTCCCAGCTCGTCATCCCACAGCGGGGGGTAAGGGCATCTGCAGTGGTTTCCAGTCACACAAATGGAACGTGTTCACTGCGGCCCATGACACAGGGACAACTCGAGGCCCAATCCTCAGCACCTCCCTTTCATCCCACAACAGGGGGAAAGGGCATCCACAGTAGTTTCCAGTCACACAGGTGGGACACGTCCAGTGGGGCCCAGCCCAGGAGCGACTCGGGACTCCAGAGAACAAGACTTGGAGCGGTCGTGGTGGGAACAGGGGCTGGCGAGCACAGAAGTGGGCCTGGTACAGGCGGAGGTCTCCTGTTAGCCTGGGCCAGGGCACATCTCTGATTTGGTGGGCATGCAGCTGAGGTCAAGGGTGCGATTGGGGTGGGCGCAGGCAGGGGCAGGGCGCGGCCAGAACATTCCAGCACCGCTGACTCAGCTGCCAGGACTCAGCCACCTGCCTGTGCAGGCTCCTCAGCCACGGGTAGGAAGGAGGGCGGGGCTGGCGGGCTGGCCTGGGGCCTGGGGCAGGCACGCACCTGACGGCTGGCTCCTCCCACCCTGCCGACCCCACCGGAGAGACCAGGGCTCTAAGCAGGGGGCTGGAGTGCAACCTCAGGTGCCCAGGCCCCAGGCCCTTCCTCTCACTCGTTCCCCCTCCTCCGCTGCCAGAGGACCCCGGCACAGGCTGAGCTCCCTCTGGGTCTAAATCCCTTTGCCCCTAGAGGCTGTCCCACCCCACCTTCATCCTTCCTGTCTGCCCCAGCTCAGGCTACCGGCCCAAGGACGGGGCCTGTTGCCTTTTCCCTCAGCCGCTTAGTCCTGAGAGTGATCAGACAACTCCCTGTGGATGGCACCCATGTCTGCGCCCCAAACCAGCTCATTTCCCTTCACATTGGAGGAAGAAGCGGAACCTCCAACTAGAAGAGTGTCCAGCCCCCAGGACCTCCCAGCCCTTGATGCTGCCCACGTGAGGCCCCAGGGCCTCCCAGCCCCTGATGCTGCCCACGTGAGGCCCCCAGAACCCTGCCAGCCCCTGATGCTGCCCACGTGAGGCCCCCAGAACCCTGCCAGCCCCTGATGCTGCCCACGTGTGGGCCCTGACAAGTCAGGCAGAACACGTGAGGTGAGGCAGAGGACTGAGCTCTGGGTGTTTAACTCCAGGTGGGCTCTGCTCTGTCCTCTGAGGTCCCTGGGGGTCAGAATCCACCAGCCGCAGGCTGTGCAACGTGAGGCTTGGTCATCCTGAGCGGTGCAGGTGCATTAGGCACTAGGCTGCTAACTCAGAGGCTGAAGGTTCAAGTCTCCCCCACGTTCCTTGGCAGGAAGGCCTGGGGGTTTCTAAAAATTTGGACATTGAGGACCCAGGGGCTCACTACGACACCAGAGCCTCCACGGCAGCGGGGATTTAGAACCATCCCAGCACCTGGTTCCCCAGGTCCTGACACACCGGACCTGGGTTCCAGGCTCACAAAGTCAGAGCCAGACCCCATCATCACTGGAAATTCTTGGTGAGTTTAGGAAAAAGGTTCTGCCTGAAAATTTGGCAACTCTTCAGGCTGGAGGGCAGGCTCAGGACGACCCTGGCTGCAGCCCTCACCCTGCCTGTGGGTCCCCGAGGACACATGCAGTGTCCTGGACCGGCGCGGGGCTTGCAGGATTCCAGCAACTCCAGGCTCCTTCTCCTGTTTGCTTCAGCCCATCAGATCCTGGCAATTTGTAACGTCAAAGCGTACATGCATCTGAACCGAAACAGCTTCCTTCCAGGTTAGGGTGTCAAGTCAGGCTGTGTGTTTGCACGTGTGCACATGTGTCTGTGTGCACACCTGTCCCTGTGCCCCTGTCCTGCTGGTGCATGCTCAACAGAGGACAGGAGCTCTGTCAGAGTAGCCATCAGCCGAGTCCAGCAGGACTCCTGGGCGGGTCAGGAAGATGCTACCCCAAGGGCTGCAGAAGTCACCTGCAAACTGATTTGGAAGGGCTCCAGGAGCCTAGCACTTGTGTGGGACCCCACCCAGGGTGACTGGGAGGCCCCGGCCCCTCAGGTCCACCAGGTCCGCATGGTGGTAAAGGGTCAGGCGGGCAGCAGCCACCAGGTGGCGCAGTCTTCTCCCTGCAGCAGTCTAGCCCGGACAGCTGGTGTCCATGGCTCCTTGACTTGGGAGGCACTCTGCCCAGCTCAGTGATTCTCCCTCTCCTTGCTGGAGGTGGCCTGGTGGGGTGGGGTGGGGAGGCTTTCCCAGCACAACCCCCACTCCCCAGGTGGAAGTCCTTCCTGTTGTCTGACTTCGGTTGTCCAGCTCCTGTGACTCAGAGGAAAACCTGTCTGGGTCATTGGTCCCAGTGGAGGGGGCAAGGCCTCTGTCTCAGATGTCCCTGCAGCACCTCACAGCTCTCGGTTCACCTGTCAGAGCCTGCCTCAGTCTCCTCACCCACCTCCTCCAGGAAGCCCTCTCTGATGCTCCCGTCTTCAGTTTTATGCTGAACTCTCACTGTGCTGTCCCCTCCTCCCCCCGAATGCCAGCACCTACAATGCAGAAGGGAGGCCAGTGTCCCTCCTCGAGGCTTCCACGCAGCGGAGGGCCAGTGCTTACTGCAGCCTTGCTAGTAGGACCTTCTTGGGAAGTTCCACCCTGAGTCTGACTGGAATTGTCATGCTGTCAGGGAGCAGGTTTCTGTGGGCCTGCAATTCTCCAGAAGGGCAAGTTCACTCACATTCTGGACCAGTAGACCCCCCAAGGACAGCGCTCACCTGGCTCCTACCACTCCCTGTGGTCAGCCTGGCCTCCAGGTCTTGCTCTGGTCCCAGACACCCAGGGGCTGTCTGCATCAGCGCACAAGGCTGATGCCAGGTGCCACTTGGTCCCCAGTGACTGGCATTTCCCCCTGGTGAGGAGGAGGGGCTGTGGAAGGCGGGACTTGAGGGGCCCCACCTCAGGGCGGAAGTGCTGGCCCAGGGAACCAGGAGGTGCCCTTGGAGACAGGGCTGTGCTGACGCCCAGCCCACTTCCTGGGGTGACTTTAAGTCCAGCCAGAGGTTTGCGTGTTGACTGGCCCTGTGGAGGCAACATGGGCCACGCACATCAGGAGATCCAGCAGCGCTCCGCTCAGAAAGGCCATCAGGCTGCCTTGCATGTCTTGGGTCAGAACATCAGGGCTTGAGGGCCCCTGGTCAACACCACTAGACCAGGGAGATAGACCAGGAGGCAGGTTGGAGGGGTCAGGGGCTGCAGGGCAGTGTGGGACAGGCTGGCTGGACTCGTCAGTGAACTCTTGTGGGACATTCCAGGGGTGGCCTGGCTTCTAGGACCAGAGAAGCTCCTGGGGGTCCCACGGCTGTGCCTGCAATCCTGCTGCAGCTGCCTCACCCAGGCAGGCCACAAACCAGGGCTCAGGCCCTTGCTGGGCTCTGACCTAAGACATTCACCAGGGCCTAGGCCTGAGCTTCCTCTGCTCCCGCTGGTTAATCTATATTCCAAGAAGTGGGCCCAAGTGCTTGTATCACAGAGCGTCCTAGACTCTCCCAGACCTGGTGTCTCTCAGCCCCCTTATCTGCTGACCCCTGGACAGAGGGATGTGACTCTGATTAATACGTACCAGGAGGTCCTGTCCACCAGCCATGCCCACAGGGCTGTGCAGCTGGACTTCCGGGGGTTTTGGGGCGTGTGCATGCTTGTGCGCCTGTGTGTCCTTCGATGGTCAGACATCAGGGGGCGTGTAGGCCAGGATGTCCCTTTGGGCTTCCAAGTGATCCCCTGTACAGGGCAAGGCAACCTCCTGGTTTGCCCAGTCTGGCCTGGCGAGTTTGGTGGCAGTGGTCAAACCTGGAGAAGTCAGGTGCTGGCCAGTGTGGCTGGGGCAGCAAGGCAAAGGTACCAGGGGGCGTGGTGAGGAAACCTCACCTGAGGGCCACGTTCTGCCAGGTGGAGGGAGCACTACGTGCCCCACACTTGGCCCCACTAGGTGCCCCGCACAGCTCCTGGCCCCACTACGTGCCCTGCACCTCCTGCCTCCACTACGTGCCCTGCACAGCCCTTGGCCTCACTACGCACCCTGCACAGCCCTTGGCCTCACTACGTGCCCAGCACTTGGCCCCACTACATGCCTCGCACAGCTCCTGACCCCACTACGTGCCCTGCACAGCTCCTGGCCTCTCTGTAGAGCCTTTGTGACTGTGTCAAGGGGCGAGGGGCGCCAGGCTGGCTGGCTGGCGAGACGGAGCAGAGGTTCCTGGCAGAAAGGGGGAAACCAAACAGAGCTGGCCGCCCGCATGGCTCCAGCCGGGGCTCCTGGCCAGGGGCTTCCTCTGTGATCCCCAGGTGTGTGAGGTCAGAGGGCACAGGGCCAGTGGGAGTAGCATGATGCTGACACAGAAGTGGGGTGGAATAGAGCCAACATGCTTGGCCTGGGTAGGCACTGATGGGGGTCAGTGGTCAGTCCTCTGGGGCTTGGTGCCCATCTAAGCACCTTGTATTGCGCCTTAGCCTATGGGATCCTGGTGGGTGTGTTTCAGGTTTTTGTGAGTGACCTCTTCTTCCAGGAGCTCAGACCCCATGACTCCAACACTGAAGAGCCTGTATCCCATCACTCAAGCTTCAAGGAGCCTGTTCCCTATCACCTGAGCACTGGTCACCCCACCCCATCACCTGAG